TATTTGGGGATCTCTCTGTAACAGGAGCATATCCTGTACTCTGACTAATGTAACACAGTACATTTTTTTTCTCCCAGAGGTTGATTTTAACCTACACCTTCCATTTCATACAGCAACTAAATGGAGTGTGTGATAGGGAAAAGCTTTTGAGATGGGCCCATGTTTGTAGATAGATCAGCGATTATAGCCTGTTGTTCCAGTTGAAAGAGTCAGCTGTAAAGGAAAACTTACCTGGGAATGGGAAGGTACTTACATGTGCGGGGGAAGGGGGGCCCTCAAATTTAAAGTCTTCCTGCCTCAGCCTCCTAGAGGGCTGGGATTATAGACATGTATAACACTCAAGTTTTAAATCTTGAAAACTCTAATACTTTCATTTTTGTATATTTAGATTTTTTTTGATTCCTGGGAATCAAAGCAATAAATAATCTCCACAACCATTAAGCATTAGATACATAGCACCTTTTGATTTTTATTATCAATTTGAATTATTAAAAGAGATAAGGATTCTACAACTAAAATTACATAATAAAAAAGAGGTGAATGCTATAAGAAGAGAGGCAGGAGTGAAAATTAATTGTGTTATCAGCAGCACTTATGTAAAAACCAACCACTGTGTAAGAAAAGGTTTTTGAAAAGACCTCCCCCAGCTTCGATTCCTCCGATCCTATATATTTCCTGCTCAAGCATCTAGTTTTACATGCATGGTCATATAACATCTGCATGTAAAGATAAAACAATAATCAAATCGGGTTTTTTTCCCCTATCCAATTTGTTTCTGCTTCCCCACAAACAAAAGGGATTGGCTAAAGACTGACAAGGTTCTCCATGATTCCAAATTAAGCCTCTGGTTTATGGGGAATTGCAATACTAAAGCCTATAAAAAGCACAAAGAAAATGTAAATAAGGATCTATCCCTTTATTACTCTGTGTCCTGTGATATGTCAGTTATTATCTTGATTTGTTGACTGTGTTTTCCTTCCAGAAAGACTCACCATCTGGAAGGCTGAGTGAATTTGTTCTACTCCCAACTCACTTTATTGAGCCAGCAGAGAAGACTGGTTAAGAACACACATTTAGCCAGGCATGGTGGGACACTCTGGAGGCTGAGGCAGGAGGATTGCCACGAGTTCATGACCAGCCTGGACTATATTGTGACTTCAAGAGTTCAATGCCAGCCTTACCTACATAGCAAACCCTGTCTCGAAAAAACAAAAAACAACAAAAACCAAAACCCCAAACAAAAAGGCACACATTTAGGAGGACATAGACCGGAGAGCATATCCTGACCCCATTGATAAGTAGCTGTATGATGAGGAGGAAAGTTTTGAGACTTTGGTCTTCTCATCGGTAAAATATGAGTAATAAATCATCTCAAAGTACTACAAGGAATAAGGGGTATGAGCAGGAAAAGATTAACACAATTCTTATCCAGTGCTTTGCTGCTAAGTGTTTTTCTATTTCCAAAATAATGATCTTGTACATGGAGAAATTGTGGCTCAAGGAGGTGAGGCAGCTTGCCCGAGGTCACATAGTAGAAATGGGACCATGCAGAAATGGAAACTGAGTCATCCAACGTTGAGTCCTATGCTATTTTGCACCAGGCTGAGATGCCTTCCTCCCACAGCCAGTGTGTGCCCCACAGTGGGACAAAGGAGAGAAATCAAAGCAGCTTTGGAGGTCTCCAAACCTCACAGTTTAGAATAAATCCCCACCCAATTATGCCTAAAGTTGGACCAACTTTTGAAATCTCAACTACACATTCTTTTTCCATCAAGTTCCTTGAAATTTCCCTTTAAAGAGCATCTAGGAAAAGCCACTCTCATTAGCCAGGGTCTGACTTTATTTTCCCAATAAACAGACCTTTGGGCAGACAAAGTCTGCCCGTTTATTTTTAATCAATTCTTCTTATTTTTAATGAATTCTTCAATATTTTAGCTGATTTTCTTCTATTTGGCTTGAAATTGTGATCTGGAAAAGGCAGGTCCTGCAAATTGTCCTGCTCTAAGGGAAGCCCCTTGAGGATCCTCAACTTGTTATTTTTAATCACTGTAATCTCCTTTCAAAGGAGGCCCTGGTCAGAAACAGAGCAGGCCTTTCAGGGCTTTCTAAAGCACAATTATTGTGGGGGGGGGGTAGAGAGAGGTGGGGGGAGAGAAAAGGAAGTCCATACAGCACCAACAACTTGGAGAAGAGTGAATAAGAATCTCAACCGGATCAGGCTGTGGGGGAAGAAACCCCATGATTTAATTTTTAATCTAGTGACCATTTATTCTAGTTGAGAACACCAAAGGGCTATACTTGGATGGGGGCATGGAGAGAACAAGCTATTGGGGATGGACTGGATGGAAAGGACAAAGATTTGAGGCAGGAAAAGAAGTCATTGATTCCAAGGATCGTGAGGGATCTTCACTCAGGAAAAAACAGAAAGCTTCTAAGCACTGGGGGAATGTTAACTGCCACAAGAAAAATCTGCGCGGAGCCGAATGCATTAGATTTACTTTTAACCTAATTATTCTAAGAAAGTATAAGCCAACAGAAAATGTCACAACCTAGGGGAGCCCCCTTTCTTCCTACCTTTGAGATTTTAGCCAGGTTTGTTAGTCACAGAATATTTATTTATTCAGGAGACCTTAGCATGGCTCCTTTAAGATCTTTTCCTTCAAGATCTCTTGGTCCAAAGAAAGGAGAAAGGACGATTGCTCAGCAGTGAGTGGACTGGCGTCCAAGTCCCAAAAGCCTACAGGTTTAGGCTGCCAAGTCCGGGGCCCTCCCCTCCTCGCCTTGTTCCCGCCTGGGAGCAGTACTGGAATTTCTCCGGCCATGTGATGATGGGATGTGTCCCCCACTCCCCCACCCAACCGGGCCCCACGGCTCCCAATGCCCAGAGGACTAGTGAGAGAAGAGATGCCAAGAGGACACTGGGCCAGGGCCCCAGAGGAGCCTAAATCACGAAATCTTCCAGTGCGTCAATTATGAAGTCTTAGGCACGGCTTCTAGAATGGGGACATCAATTTATCATTCATTCATTCATTCATTCATTCATTTAATTCATAAGGCCCAGATAATGGCCATTCACTGACAGACTGGACTAGAGTGCTAAAGAAACCTGCTTTTAAACACACACACACACACACACACACACACACACACACGCCCCTCAAAAATCTAACCAGACGCACCTCCCCCCTTTTTAACTTTTTTTTTTTTTTTGGTACCGGGGATCAAACTCGGGTCCTTGCGCAAGACAGGCGGCGGAACCACTGAGCTAAATCCCCAATCTCCCTCCATTATTAAACCAACACAGGGCTCTCATACCCAACTCTAATGTGTCCCCGGAGCTGTTGCCGCTCAGGCACATTCTTGTAAACTCATTTACTCCCAGTATCAACCAGAGAGTGTCAGAGAAACTGAAATACAAGCCCCTTTCCGTCCAGAGCCAGTCTCCGGCACTGACCACAGGCTCTCCGCGCGGGGGAGGCCTGCAGCCTGCAGAGGCCTGGAGGCTACTCCTGCCTCCCCCGTCCACGTGGAGGACTGTCTGTGTCCTGCCCGCCTCCGCCTCCGCCTCCGCCGAGCGGCTGCCCTCGAGCATGGCTGGACTCCCTTTGGCTTCCGCGCCAGCCCGCGCGTCCCTCCCAGGCTGGGCGAGGCGAGGTGTTATCCGCCCCACATCTTTGTTTGGTTTTTGGTACCGGCCATCGAACTCAGGACCTTGCGCTTTCGAGGCAGGCGTCGGAACCACTGAGCTAAATTCCCGGCCCTACATCTTTCTTCTTAGAGGATCAAGGATGCTGCTGAAGATACACGCGCGGGACAAGGCCGCTCCGAAGAGAAGTCCGTGCGCCAGCCCGGGACAGCTGAACGGTTCTGAGCAGGCGACCGCGGTCCTGGCAGGGCGCTGGCCCCGGGCGCCCGCAGACACCACATCAAACTTTCTCCCGCGACTCTGGGGAACCGCGAGGCGGGGATGGAAGGGCAGCTGCTGGGGGCCCGTTGGTGCCACCAGGTGCCCAGAGACCCAGTCTTCGCTGCTCAGCACCAGAGCTGACTTATGAAGGAAGGGGTGGGAGGAGGCACGTGCCCTTGCAGGACTGCGGGAGAGGTCAAGCGAGCTTCCCTCCTTGCCTGGGGACCTGTGTCCCAAGCGGACAGCGGAGCCCGCTGCGCAGGAAGGCGAGGGAGGCAGGGAGGCAGGCGGCGAGGATGGAGTCCGCGTCCTCAGGTCAGCGCCAGCCGAGCCGCCTGACTCCTGGCCTGTCCAGGAGGCGCTCACCTGCTTCGACACCTACGCTCCTGAAATTCGGGTCCCTACTGAGCCGCGGAAGCGCAATGATCCCGGGGCACGGAGCCTCGGGCTGCGGCCGCCCGGGTCCCGCAGCTTGCCGGCCAGCAGGCCTGGGGGGCGGTCGGGCTCCCCTTGAGGTCTTCACTGGACTTCCTCCCCGGTGGGAGCCTACCCAGGGCTCTGTGGGGATCCCGTTCCCACTGGGGACCGGTGCTGGAAATCCAGGATCCTCTCCCTGACCTGAGAGCGGAAAGGCATCATTTGGGCTTTTTTCCCAAGGACACTTCCGAGGACCCTCTGGCTCTTCCCCTCACTCTCCGCGCCTTGGGACCGGGTCGGGAGGAGCCAAGGTGACCGGACTGCTTGGGGCCAGACTGAGAGAGGCTGGACCCCTTTCCTTCAGGGATCGAAGAGGGGGGAAAGGTGGCTTGCCTGGACCCCACTGAGAAGAGCGGGCCCCTTCTCTCCAGAGCCCGAGCTGGAGGAAGGCGGGTCTACTTCTCCCCTGCCGACGGTCGGGTGGCGACCGCTCGGGACGGTGGCTGGCGATGAGCGCGGTGCTCGCGGCTGAAGGAGCTGAGGGCAGCCAGGTCAGGAGGACCTGCCGGGGCTGCGCCGGCACCGTGCGCTCAGGGACGCGCGTCCTCCTAGGGCACCGCGCGGTCGTCACCTCGGGGTCAGCTCCGTGCGCCCCACGCCACCCGGGGTCACTTACCTCGGTAGCTGCTTCCCGGCTTGTAGGACTCGGGATCGCCCTCCACGCGGAGGCTGAACTCGGTGTAGCCCTCGCGCCGCGTGCCCTGGGCGCGCAGGATGCGGCTGCAATAGCCCTCCGACTTGGCCACTTTGTCCAAGGTCTCGTCGGAGAAGGCCAGCGCCACGGCGAGGGGCAGCGCCAGGGCCAGCAGCGCCGGGCGCCGGGGCGCCAAGGACAGCCTCATCCTCGCGGCCCCCAACTCTGAGATGATGTCGCCGGCCCTCGATAAGCGACTCCTGCCCGAATGGTTCGGGCAGAGGCGAGACCTGGAAGAGCCCGGCGGAGAGCGGGAGCCTGGAGCCCGTGCCGCCTGGGTTTGGCGGCTGCCGAGCTGCGCTGCGCTGAGCCGAGGCGAGGCGAGGCGCGCGCGGAGGGGAGGGAGGCGGCAACCGCGCGGGAGGAGGGGGCTGTGTCCGCACAGATCCCCGAGCGAGCGAGCGCAGCGCTGTTTTGTTTCCAAGCTGGCGATTAGCGGCGAGGCGGTGTTTATTTTGCGACGCTGGATTCCCAGGGTCTGGCGGGGGAATCAGAGGAGAGGGGAACCCTGCGGGATCTGTCCCACCACCGAGGAGGCCGCTGTCCCAAGCCCCGCCTAAGCCCTGGACCCTGCGGACCATGGGGCTCCAGGAGGGAAAGCCTGCGAACTAACTTTCGCTGCACACCTACTCTGTGCGCGCGCGGTCTGCTCACTGTGCCTGCGCGCGCTGACCGCACGCGGAAGCGGTTCTCGACTCTCGCTCATTCTGTAGACGCCCAGACGAGCTAGGTGCTGTGACTCGCTGGCCCCATTGCTCTTCCCCTGGCCGGACTGGGACAGGTCCCACTGGAGGACGAGAGGAGCCAACGAACACTGTGCCTAGGGCGTAGTACTTCTGGAGATCTAGGGAAATGTTTTATTTAAAACAGGAGGGGGGGATGGACAAAATGTTTTGCAATATAATATTAATATATTCGCCCTTATGCTCACACAGTCATAAAACACAGTGTTTTTGTCTTGTAAAGGAAAAAGCCCACCAAGACAAAAGTGCCTAGGGCTCACGAAAGTCCTCACACAGCCCTGGAAAGGGTTTTGAGAGGGTCACAGAAGAGCATGTTTTCTTGGCTGAGACTGCATTTCAGGATCTCCGTGTCTGGAGACTGATCTAGGGGAGCTGTGGAGCCTGGGGCTTGCTGGGCAGGGCCTCAGGCACGAAGCTGAAGGCTGGAAAGGAGGAGGAGACCCCAGGCAGGAATCTTTCCTGGTGTTTTCCTGGGGCCAGAACCAAGACCCTAATCTAGTCGCAGTTCTGCCTTTAGCCCCCTGTGACACTGGGCACCCACTGCGGTTTCCCTGCAGGAGCAGGGGTGGAGTGGGTGCTAACACACCCTTCCTGGGTGGAGCGGGGCGGGGGGGAGGGGACCAGCATTCATTAAAGGCCTCTTGCCTCAGTCTCTGAGCTCTTCCTGGTCCTTTCGATTCCTTCAACCCCTGCCTCCGGACATTTCCAACACGCATCCCTCCCCAGGTGTCTGGCTGCTCTCAGCAGCTTTGCTTTAGTCATCCTCCTTCCCCAGGCCTCCAACACACCTGGAGTGCAGTCTCTTTAAACAAGCAATCTCCTTTGCTTTCCACTCAAGTCTTTCTCTTTCAGGTCACTGCCACAGCCTGCAGGAGCCCTGCGTCCTGAGGGTTTCCCTCTTCCACCTGCACATCTACTCCTTAGTCCTTGTGATGTGCCTCTACTATTAATGGGGAACCTTCTTCCCGGGGTCACGGGGATGCTCTTTGCTTAGCCCCAAGAGAAAACCTGAGGATTCACTCAGCAGTAGCCCCCTGCTGGCCTGGGAAAACACCCCTTCACTTCACGGAAGGGATGGCAGGAGGGAGTGGCTCATCTTCACCCAGCTGGCTCAGAGCTCCTGCCTGGCACCATGGTGCATGGTCCCTTAATCCAGCAAGCTTCTGTTGGATGCGGATTTGGAGCCAGGCTCTGTACTGAGTAGTGGGCCCAAGAGGAAACACAAATTCATTCATTCATTCATTCATTCATTCACTTATTCACTCATGTTGAAAGTTCTTTGTGTACTCAGTGCTGGGAAACAAGTTAGACATGTTAGTTACTTGCCAGATAGTCCTGTGGCAGAGGTAAATATTAAATATGTAACTACATGAGATTTTTTTCAAATTATAATCATGGTATATGCTACAAATGAAAACAAGTGGTTCATGAAAGTATACCTGATCTTATCTCAGAGAGTAGGTAATTACAGAGATGAATAAAATGTAGCCCTTCTCTTCATAGAGCTTATTGTATGTATGATAGTCAAAAAATGTGCTTTGGAACATCTTCATTTGCACCAAAATGTTCACATTTAAACTGGAGGTAGGCAGGCATTGAATATGCAAGAATGTAGTAGTATTTATCTTTGTTGTTGGTGGTGGTGCAGTATAAGGTATTGAACCCAGGGCCTTTCCACTGAGCTACATCCCCAGCCCTTTCTAAAATTTTTTATTTTTGAGACAGAGTTTCACTAAGTGACTAAGTCACTAAGTTGCCCCAGCTAGGTTTGAACTTGTGATCCTCCTGCCTCAGCCTCCTGGAATGTTGGGATTACAGGTGTGCATCACCATGTCTAGCTATATTTAATCTTTTGTTGGGCATTGACGAGGAAACCATGTGAGGGTGGTCACCACCCCTTCTGCAGATTAGGAATTTGTAAATTATCTGTCTAGAAAACGTGCCATGCCAGTGATGGAAAGGACTAGGATTTCAAACCGGCCCTGCCAGCATAAAAATGAGTTCCTGATTGGTCTGCCCCCTCTGTTCTTCCGATCTGTCCTGGGCCTGGAGAGCCAAGAGATCTTTTTACAAAGCAGATTTGAGTGTCAATCCTGGGGTTGAGATTCTTTCCCAGGGTCTTTCAGGGCTCTCAGAATAAAGACAGATTCTTTAAAGTGGCCTCCAAGGCCCTGCTTGAGGCCAGGCAGCTTTATCTCATGGGTTCCAGCCACCCACAGCTGTTCTTCAGCTTGGGAATTTTTTTTTTTCCAGAAAAAGTCTCACCATGAAGTCCAGGCTGGCCTTGAATTCACTATGTAGCCCAGGCTGGCCTCAAACCTGTGGCAACCCTCCGGCCTCAGCCTCCTGAGTGCTGGGATTACAAGCATGCGCCACACCTGGCCAGCCTAGAGAACTTTGGTCTGTGCTCCTGCATTGCCTGGGATCCTGCGCTGCTCTGTGTCCTTCCTGACACTCACTGTCCACTAGCTGACTTCTATCATCCATCAGATCTCAGTGCAAAGCTGCTTCCTCTGAGAAGCCCTTCTGGTTTCCTAGAATGAACCCTGTCCCCAACACTGTCTGGGACCTCGGTACCTTTTCTTTTAATAGTCTCAAATTTATACTTACATATGCATTTGGAAGCCATAGTACCTGGCCCAAAACTAAGGATCTCCACAGATTTGTTCTCTGAGTACAAGATCTTTTTTTTTTTTTTTTTGGTACCAGGGATTTAACTTGGGACCTTGCACTCTCGAGGCAGGTGGCACCACTGAGCTAAATCCCCAGCCCAAGTACAAGATCTTTAGCAGTTCTGTCCCCAGTGTTGTCTGGCTCAGCCCAAGTTTTCAAGTTGGCCTTCAAGGCCCTCTGCATGATTTGGTCTCTTTGTGTCCATCTGGTCAGAGATCCCAGTCCGCACCCCCAGCACTGCCAGCTGGATTCCCTGTGTCCTCTGCTTTGGGTGTAGTATCAGCACATTTCCTGTTACCTGGAATGCCCGTCCTTCTCCCACCTGTTTAAATTCTCTTCCCTGGGGCTGGGGATTTAGCTCAGTGGCACCACATCTGCTTCAAAAGCACAAGGTCATGAATTCGATCCCCAGTACCAAAAAACCCCCCAAAAAACAAAAAAACAAAAAACCTCCTCCCTGGACTTCAATAGAACTCATGAAACTCACAAGGAGAAAATGTTTCTTATTTTGACGATTGTGTTCCCCTGGATTGTCATGAACCCTTTCATGTGTCTATGTCTCATCTCCTTGCAATCAATCTAGTTTATTTTCTATTTAATTTCCTGTTCAGATGTTTTGTTCTGTTGTAAAATATACCGGACTTCAAGAAATCTCTTTCCAGTTTTGTAGCCTAAGGCAGAGCTGATGTTAGTTGCTAGGGTGTTGCTAGGGAAAGTCATTTAGCCAGGGCAGATAATTAACTTTATCAGTGTGGGTGGCTAGGTTGCTGGAGAGAAGAGCTGGGGGCTCCAATCCCCCCCAGTCTTTTGATTAGTAGGAGGTAAGATCCGCCATTTGTTTTTTGTTTTTCCTTCAGGAGAGAAGGAAAAAAGCATTTTCTTGTATTTTTGAGTATGGTCATTAAAACATGAGCATCAGACATTTGCTTCAAATGTAGGTTTCAAACCCTACCCCATACCCCTCACATATATCTGCACTTAGAACAAACTCATGTAAAGTTGCAGGAACCGCTGTCCTGGAGCTGAAGATTCACACTTGGAGTGCACAGTCTCCTGCCTGGCTCTCCTAGCTTCTGGCTGTACAAAGCTGGGAGGTCACGGGAAGTCACAGGATTTGTCTAAACTGCTTATGTGCAAAATTGAGAAAATTCATACCCATCTGCGTACTTCCTGGGATTTTGAGAATGGAATAATTGAGATAATTAATATATATACACTTCCCACAAAATAACCCAGTTATTGTTACTATTATTTATTTAGGACAGTCATGCAAAAATGCTATCCCTTTGTTTCTCTAACTCAGAAAATGAAATTAAAAGTTTTATTGGAAGAGATTTCTAGAAAAACAAAAGCAAACTGACAATGAAGGAAGTTGAATTGCACTGAACAACCCTTGGGAATTTGTCATGAGAGCAGATCTGAAGTTCCTTGCAAGCAAACTAGCAAGTTTTGAGACTAAGCTACAGAAGATGGATATAAAGAGAAAAAAACTCTCTGAAAGCAGAAGACAGTAATTATTTTAACAATTATCTCTTCAGCACCTGTTGTGTTCTAGGCATTGGATAACCGGGTGTACTTGCATTGCCTTTGGAGGTCTGATGCCGATTAGGTCCCTCTGACAATTCTAACCAGTGTTCGAGCCCCCAGCCACCTGGCCACAGTGGGCTGTTGGTTATGACTGAAAGCTCTGAAAGGTTTGCCATCACTGCAAGTCCTTTAATCTCCATTCATA